CTTTGGGGTCACCTCAAACATTTGGTTTATACGACTCCAGTGCAAGCCATAGACGAATTAAGAAACCGCATTGTCGTATCCTGTGAAACAATTAGACACACAGCCGGAATATTTGAACGGGTTCGCCATTCAATGTGTCGTAGGATAGATGCCTGTATTAGAGTTGAAGGTGCACATTTTCATCAACTGTTGTAACGCCTGTGTATGTAAAGTACAAGGACATTTAAATAAAGGGGACTATTCATGTCACAGTCTATCTCATATGTTGGGTGAAGCTAGACAAGAGGAAAGCAGAGGGATTTATTTTCATCCAACTGATGCGCGCGATTACATCTCCAATGTCGTACATTTTGGATGGGTAAAAATAAAATATTTTATAGTACCAAGTCAATATATTTCAACAGCTACTCAGTATTTTTATAATAAATAAATATAATATTTTTATAACTTCTTGGAATCCCAATAACTGTAACCATTTCTTTCTTGTTGCACCATCCCCAAGCATCCTAAAAACGTTCACATTTCACTTTTAGAATACTGAGGCAAATTTTCAGTGAGACATAAAAATATATTCCCAAAGGAGAACATCAAATGGTTGAATGAATGCAACTTTTAGTCGATTGCATCTTCGGTATTTTTGTGTATAAGTGAACCACCACCATATTTTTGCTGTTGTATTTATTCAGTTTTTATGCTCGTGCCTTTAGTAAAATTGTAAATATATTTTTGAAAAGGTTTTTGTCGTAGAGGAAAATGAAAATGATGAATGATTAAAATTTGTAATGTTGGGTATAAGGGATAACATTGAAATACCTATAAATATATTAAATATAAATAATGTCTGTAACTTATTTGTGGTGCAGCATTTTCCTTTGATTTTAATGGCCAAACGTGGTTCATATTATTGTTTTCTTACTATTTCAGCAAAAATTTTAAAAAAATACCAAGTCAGTTTTATAAAATTTTACCGTTATTCAAATAAAAGTTACCCACACGCACGACAATGGCCACAGTTGCATATACATTCCAAAGTCACCTTCAAGCACGCTTACCTGTGGAAGGATAGCTGATGTGGATGTTTATAATCCAATTTCTTACAAATTCTGCACTGTCTAACCATATTCACACCTTAAAAGTTTATCCAAAATACATGTATAAACGCTAATCACGTTTCACTTACTAAAATCACAACTATTTTCTAACAAAAGACGCCATATTCTGCCAACCACGGCAGAATGAACGAGGAACACGCTACAAATTATTGCGTAGTTGCCAAGTCTTCAAACATGGCAAATATGAAAAATGAAAAATAGTTTAATATGTACAGAATTTAACAATATTGTATGCATAACTTAATAATACTATCCTATAATAATAATTTCCACAATTGTGATGAAAATTGCGAAAAAAAGATTAAGTACATTTCCAGTATAATTATACAGCTGACAACAATGATACAATTAGACTGTGAATAGACCGGGCTTCATTTAGAAATGTAAATAAATAAGTCCCCTTTATTTAAATGTCCTTGGTAAAGTATTTTTCATATCATTGCCGTTTGTTAAATATTTTTTCTTATGTTTCTGTTAATATTAATTATTTAAAAAAGTATTATTTAGTGAGTTATTGTTTCTCAGCTTGTTACATTGTTTTTCCTTTAAATGTATTGTTAAATTCTATTTTTGTTTTCTACTTCCTTTAAGAATGTGTGAAAGAATATTAATTTTTTGCTCGAAAACGTAGCAGGATATCAAAAAAATTAGAGACAAAAAAGTTGTATTTTTAATCGCATAATTAGAAAAAAATATGACACCTAAGAAAAATGCAGTGGCGTTTCATATGTTTACTTATTAATATCAACAGGAGTGAGTTCCCGGACGCCACTGGAATAGATAAAATAAATCAAATTGCGTCAGAAGACGTCTACCGGTTTTATAAACAAACGTACCAAATTTAAAAAGAATCGGAATTGTATTTTCTCTAAATTTCAACACCCTGTATCTTCGAAACGAAGCAATTTTGGACATAGGTTTATAGGAAAATTTGTTCTTATTGTTCGTCAAGGAAACTCCCCCTGATTTTTTTAGCAATATTAATGGGACACCCTGTATTTCTTTTTATTTTAAGGCTGTTACGCTAATTAAAAAAAATGTTTCTAAAAATCCTGTCAAATGAGAACAACCCATTTCTTCTTCCTTGACAGTTTGACTTCACTTGATAATATTCTCAGAAACAATACCTACAACTCGTTTTATTTCGAAAATATGTATGAACCTAAGGAAAATCACCCGTTATAAACTTCACGGATGACGGAGCATCATCGCGACTGTTCGACCGGTCTCGCCTTCAACACGTACATTCCCAATCTGCCCTCTGCTACGCGTGGGCGTTACATTAATAATACCCCCCGACAGTAATTATTATGCAATTACGGCTTTCCCGCTGAACGCAATTACAATAAATAAGTTGCATGTAATGAGTGCGGCGCGATCGTGTCGGCCGCGGAATTCAATAAACAAAGCAGGCGGCCTGCGTTCGTGTATCGATTGTCTCTCCTCCGGCTGTGGCGTTCGCACCTTGCCAAACCTCGGAGCCCTGCTAACCGACCAGGTACGACCTTAGCCTATTAGGGGGATCGACTTCGGTCGAGAGAGTCAATCGTGATGTCGCCGGGGGCGAGAGGGGCGAAAATGGCGTTTTTGACGCGCGATATCGTTGGTGGGAAGAGGGGCAAACCAAATCGGGGGTTGCTTACAAACTGCTGATTCCATTCGCGCCAATTCCGCCTAGAACTGATGAGTGACGTCATTGGTATTATAAGTTCAAAAGCGTCAACGTCGGTCATTGTTATTGTTTGCTAATAAATTTACTAAATTTCCGTTTTGTTCTGTATATTTGGAGTTTTTTCTATCCTGTCATAGTTACAGTTCGTGTTTTCATTTTAAATTTAAATTGTTATTTAAGTACTGTTGAGTTCACAAACTTCTATCTAAAACTGTCTCGGGTTATAAGTCTGTAGTGTGGATACTTCTTGTACAAGTTAAAGAGAGAGTTAGGTGCTACTAAAAAATGTAGCTAATTTCGTATTGAGATACATTATTTTTGCAATGCGAAGTGAAATTATGTGCATTATTCTCGAATTATTTATCGACTTGTAATGTCAAAAATTTGAATATTTAACATAGGTTCATATGGAAAATACTAATATGCATCCTTTACAATCGAATTATGGGTGAAAAAATACAAATGGTAAGACGAAAAATATACAGACATTAATTATTTGAATCATTAACCAATAAATGAAAGAAAGAAAAAAGTAGGTTACCGCACATTTCACAGAGAAATAAAGTGTCAAACATAAAAAGTTTTGACTTGTCGTCCTCCGAGTAATAAACGCGAAGGAGTAGCGGCAACAGCGCAATAGAGTTTGAATGAGGATAGGTGGCGGGAAATTTAAATCAACGTTTAAAATAAAATGAGAATTTTTCAAATGAAGCATGTTTTTTGAAAGCTTTTTTATATAAGTACGATAAACTTTGAATACAAGAAGTAAAAAATACAGCAGCATATAGACAATGAAATATGTATACTTTGCATCACAGCGCATATAACAATCTTATGCATTTTGACAAATTATGACATTTTTAATATCATTTTTCATTTTAAAATTAACGTTTCAATAATTTCAGTATAGTTTTTAGAATATTTTTGGCTGCAATAACATCGTTTCACAGTATAATTCTACATATCAAATTATAATTGCTTTGTATTCACAGAAGGGTATTATAGTAGTATGCTACATGTAACTAAATCATACCTACTTCATTCATATACAAGCATTCATACTTTCTTTTGGTCACAAATTTTCCTTTTTACCGACTCTTTTCTTCATTCGACATTTTATAGGTTAAAGCAATAAGCTGTGCGAGCGATCACTTAGCATAATATATATATATGTAATATACATGACAAGGACTGCCAATTTACAAATAATAAACTCAGCATATTCGTGCGCTATTGCCAAGTTTCTGTTGCAACTTTTGGTATTTATTTATGTATACATATAAATAATAAAAATAATATATAAGTTTAAGTATTTTAAATTCGATTTTATTCTATATCTACAAGCAAGCATCTCAATCTACTTACTTTCTAGTCATGAAGAATATTTTTCGTTACATTGACAGCAATGATTTTATAACACGGTTAGTATAAGCCCCCCCCGTTCCTTCTCCCCCCCCCCTCTTCTCCCTACTTAAACTGGGGAAAAGAAACTAGAATCCATTAATTTTTAGACTTTCAAAATTTTTTAAGTTAAAGTGGTCTTTCGAAGTTTTTAAAAGTTTCCATATTTCTGATGCGGTATTGATGTATTTTGCAGTTTTTTTTTAAGCATTTTGAACATATTGTGATCTGTTGTACTGCATTTCACAGAAGTTTTAAAGAATTTCTATGCTATCTAAAGCTGGTTTGACGTATTTTGTATTCGAAAGTTGTTTGGTTTCATTTTATTTCTGAACCTATCCAACATATTTTATAGAAATTTTGTACATTTTGAATGATTCCAGGGAAAATTTGAGAATTTTTTATATATGGTGACGTCTAAAATTCCAAAGCTGATTTGATTTGAGGTATTTAAGGTGTTTTGGGGTATATTTATTATATATATTTTTTAAGCCACTTCAAATCACAGAGTAATAGAAACAAAACAATGGTCCACCTGAAAAATCATGCCCATCCAATCTCAGAGGTCTTTTTATGTGTCTGCACGCAACAGTCATATATAAAATTATTAAAACTTCTGTTTTACGATATAATTAATCTTTTAATACATAAATTGAGGTAACAGCGCGCGCGCGCCGCCTTCTATGGCATACAAGAGCATAAACCATTGACAGTGACGTCAGTGGGCAATGACGCGTCTGACGTGAGCGTACGTGATAACGTTCCGACGCGTATTGACGCAGATTTGTTATCGATAACCGATTCTTTTGTTGCAGACTGAAATCGCGAAACGCCTAAACGCCATCATTGCCCAAGTGCTGCCCTTTTTGGCCCAAGAACACCAACAGCAAGTCGCGACTGCCGTAGAGAGGGCCAAGCAAGTCACCATGACAGAACTTAACGCAATCATTGGGGTAAGTAGCGTCTACATATTTTGTGTCTCTTTCGTATTTTTTTCGTTTTAAAACTGTAACTGTAAAATTTTTTTAAAAATAGCTTAAAAATTTGAAAATATCTATTTTTTTTACCGATATATTTTTTCTCCATTTTATTTTCTTGTCATTTTAGTTGGATTAGGTTTAGCAGTAACAAATCTCCCTATAGCAGTGCTAGGTGCAGTTATAGCAGTTTAGGTAGACTTTTTATGGCTTGTTTAATAAAAGCCCATAGTTTGTTTAACAAATTGCATATAAAAGACGAAAGTAGGTCCTCACATTATAAATTTTTGATTAAAATTTACGCCTTATTAGACATACGTTTAACGTTTATTTCTTTTTTCTTTAAAAAAGTTCTACTTGCAACCAAATTTAATCAATCTAGAATAAAATAACAATGGGTATTACAACTTTGTATAGAAGTAGTTGGGAGAGTAGTAGTTTTTAGTTTTATTCGTTAGTAAGCGATTATATTCTGATACCTTTCCATGGTTGTGTACCTAGATATTAGATTACTTATTTTTTCTCCGACATAATGTGATTTGTTTGTTCAATTTCATGCACGAAGTAGTTTTACTAGACTTGTTCAATAATTCATGTCGATTCCAGAACAATTTCTTAGCAAATAAACACCCGAATCGAGTAGTGTAACGCCTAAATTTTTTTATGTACAGTTATGTCGGTAGAACGTCTCACGAATTGATTTTTACTCCAGTCGAATTAGATCATAAAACCTGAATACTTACTGAATACTACTGAACGTGGAAAAATCAGTTTTTGTAAATTGTGCATTATCGCAAAAAGCAATGGATGAAATTTAAGGAAAAAACGGTCAATGCAGTGACCAATATGTGTGGCCAAACGCCGATTTAATTGGCCGTGAAAGTATTGCTCTAGCTATTTGTTAATTAATTTTGTTTATTTTTTTTGCAACTAATTGTTTAATTACTAGATGTTAATTTTAGAAGTTAATATCATAGATATTAACTAACAAAGTAGCACGTGTAAAATAGGTTTATAAACAAATTGTCCCAGGGTCAGGCAAAATTTTATATTGCTTTTATATTGCTAATTGTTAATTATACCTGTTGGACGTATCGGACCGGGATTTTGGAGACTTTAATTGTCTCCAATTACAGAAAGGGTTCAACTTTTATTTTCAAAAAGTTTTACATTGATAGTTCATGTAATAAACCCGCTGGCGGCAGTAAAAGTTAACGTTAATGAACGGCCTGTGCGCAGGAGAAGGAGCGCCAGGCCCGCGCACGCGCCTGACTACCGCCCTCGTCGCGCTCGAGATTTTTGAGCCGAATTTGATACGTTCAAGTCAAGTCTTTCGGGTTACTTTTTTGATTCTATCACTCTACACACACCCAGTAAAATATCTACTAATCATTTTTTCACGTTCAAACTAATTCGGCTGGAGTATATTAATAAATTTGCTTGTTGACGTACTTTGGTGTTGGTGTCGATTGTTTTATATTTAATTGTGTTGTTGTTTCCAGCAACAGCAACAACAAGGTCTACAACAGTTGCTTGTAAGTAGTTCCTATTAGTCGTTTTCTTTTTTTTTTTTTTGTAGAACAAACCACAGGGTGGTCAGCAAAACACATGTTTTAACATTAACGCAACTCTAGATTCCAAATTAAAACATAATAAATCCTTAGCGTACTATTTGAAGTTTGAAGCGACAAGTGGCTCCATCTATCCGTAAACTAACCCGACAGTAAGGATTTCGTTAGTCCATGCTATAAGCGATTAGGGTTAGGGGTGTTAACAGGCAAGTTGCGTGTGCGCCGTCGTAATTTATTACTTAGTCGGTCATCGAGGCATTTGCTCGCTCTTATTAAGAAATCGCATGAGCAATATCATTGCGTTGCGGGGTTTCCAAGAGGGCTTTAATTTGTGTTTACCTGCCGCAGGAAATCGCGTATTGATTATCGCGGCCTTGTTATGCTTCTTCGGTTCTTGGAAAAATTGTTACGAACTTAGTACTTGGTTAGAAATGATAGGTAACAGTAGGAATGTATTCACTGATAGATGGCGTTGATGAAGATGTGTCCAGAACTTTGAAAATATAGCTCTGTCATGTAAATAAAGAAGATATAACTAACAATCAAAATATTTGTTCGATTTTACAATTATAAATGGTTGAGTAACTGTGATAATTCAGAAACAAAGGTATTTAGAAGTTTTAATGACCTTGAAAGGTAGTTTTTGTTAATAATATGTGCCATAAATGTTGAAACGCTGGTGAAACCACCTTTTTTATTTCAGAAAGATGTACAGAATATTTACATGCGTAGTGGAATGTTGACATCGAGATATTTTGCTGGCCACTCAGTACATTTAGTAATTCCTCCCTTTTCTCCATAGTTTTCGAGAATCTGGGACTTCTAGTTTATTTTTTTTAATAGTATTCATTACGGACCTACTAGCTATTGATGTTTCTGCTTGGTTATTGTTTTGTTCTTAAATATCCTATAAGGACTGACACATATTTTCTGCTCCTTGATGTTTTGTACATTTTATTATATCTTTAGAAGCTTGAGAGGAAGCTGGGGAGGTATTTTCTTAGGGATATTTAAGAACTGAAAAATTTTCTGCATATTTATGAGGTGATTCAAGATTGCTACCAATACAATATATCTGCAGTTTTTCTGATATGAACGTTTAATACAAAATATGATGATAATTATTGAACTTACTTCTAAATTTGTCAATTTAAAAATTTAAAATAGTCGTATAATAAGATTAGAAACAAATGATACCACAAAATATTAACAATGAGCTAACCTGAATATCCCAGTGTGTTATTTATATGTATTTTGACGCTCTGAATCCAAATCCGACGTTACTCTGGCACTCACAGAGTTTGAGGAAATCGTTAAAAAGAGATGAAAATCCAAAAAGGTCGTGGAAATTTTCCTAACAGCGTCAACAACTAACAAAGCTTGTTTTACTAAAACAACATAAATGAATTCAAAGAAATTATACACACTGTACGAAATTTTCTACATCAACTTGCAGATTTTAATTTTATTATTTATTTATTTAATTTTTTTTCTAAAGTGTTTTCTCATGTTTCTTTTGTTTATTTTGACGTACACTGTCGTCTGTCAAAATTACGACAGTCAAACTTCCAACGCACTTTATCAAATAAAATATGAAAGAAATTCTGAAATTAAAAAATTTGGTGCCCTATCTTGAATCACCGTCGCTTCGCGACAAAGCCAACCCCCTGTGAACCACCTCTTCTTCTTCAGCAACAGATCCACGCCCAGCAACTGCCCCACGGTGCCCATGGGCCAGGTCTACCTATGGGCCCCCATCCAGGCCTACCGGGAATGGGTCCCGCCGCAGCCGGCCTACTAGGATTCGGCGCCGGACTGGCAGCTGGCGTTCCAGGAGCACCTGGGGGGCCGCATCCCTCCGTAGCCGGGGCGGCTCACCCCTTGCTCAAGCCCACCGACCTACACGCTAGGGACTCCCAGGACCTGAAGAGGCCGGGCAGTACCAACGCTGAGGAAAGACTGGTGAGTACCCGTATAAAGTAAAGAGCAAACATTTTTCTATAATTAATGTCATAGTAAAATATATGATAAAATGTACACATAACAAAATACTTAAAAATAGCGGTTTTCAATTTATTTTTGTAAAAATTTACCAATTTTGAAAATTCAGTAGATTTTGAATACAAAGTAGTAAATCAATCTACTGAAAAATCAGTAAATATGGCAACATTGCATACACGTGATATTTTTCCGATTATGGAAATACGTTTATCAAACCGTGCGGTGAATTTTTGAGTATAATGGGTTGGGGTTAATATACAGGGTGTAAGAAGTGACTGCCATTACTTCAGCATGAGATAGAGCAATCATAAATGAGCAAAAAAATTGTATATTACAAGGGCGTAAGATTAACAGTTTTCAAAATACAGCGTGTATTAGTATTGGGGAGTTTCATCACAACGTGACAACAACGCTTAACCTAACGCTACACAGCTGGTGCATACCACGTGGTCCACGTGTGCACGCGGCAAACTTGTCTTACGGAAAAAATGTAAACAATTATTATTGTGAAACATTTAGTAAATTTCAAGACAATTGTTTCCAGTTTTTAAATAAATAAAATAAAATGTATTGACTTTGTAGTACGAAGATAGTGTTGTGCTTAAATTTTAGCTCGAATTCTAGTAATTATGAATCTCTTAAAACAGAAACTTGACTTTTAATCAAATTATGAATTTGAAGAATATGTAATTAAAGTACCCAAAGATTCACGTCGTCCAAATAATCATACGTATTAAAAATAATTTACCAAAAAGCAAAATTCAATCATTTTTAAATGCACAAGTACAAAACAAACTACAACATACGCTCAAAATGTCCACCATCATTTTCGATGCACGCACGACACCTTCGAATCCAATTTTCGCGCACTCTCTGGAAAACACCACAAGAAAAGGAAATAATTGTACGCAAAAAACACTTCGACACGGTCGAATCCAGATACCAACTGAATTGCGTATTGCTGGGTAGCTTAGTACCTGGTGTTATCTGCCGCGCCGTTGTCACATTGCTCGATATGAATTTCATTGAATTTTTAAATTTATTACAACGCTAATTATTTTTTAGAATTAAGCATAAAGAAGTTCAAAAAAGTAATAAACATTGTATTTTATGATATTCTATGCACGCAGTTATGTCAATATTCCTTAATTAATCGAACTTTTGTACATTTAGTTGGAGATTTTGATAATTTTTTTTCCGGAAATTTAGGACCCATGTAATAAAGTTTTTTTTGTTTATTTTAATGTATTCTATCGTTTGTTAAAATTAAGGCAGTCAGACTTCTAACACCCTGTATTTGCTTTGTAGACTTGCTGTTAACATGTGATAAAATTAGAATTATTTCTCTGAAACTGATTTTTACATGTTGTCAGCCAGAAGAATTACTCTTTTTTATTCTGGAGATTAATATATTTAAGACTAGAAATAATTGTTGGACTTGATTATATTTTACATTGCAGTTAATAAAAAATTGACCCATTATTGTTCCAATATATCTGTTTAAAAGTAAAGAAATTATGAGACAGTTAAGTGAACGTTAAACAAAGACAACAATAAAAATGAAAGAACTAAATATTTAATTGGTAATTAATTTAAAAATATGTATAATTTTGGTGCCATTAGTAAAATCACCACATATTCTTTGCGTTTTTGCATGATTGTTGATATCAGGATTGATGGATCACACTAAATGACGTCACAATTTATAATATTTATTTATTTTGGGCGCCAAACTTTTATAATTTGTTATTAATTAACCACCTTCTAAGAGATTTCTAATATTTTCACATTACATGATTATTAAGGTTATAGATTATTTCTAGACAAGTGAAGTAGGTTAATTTAACTTTGTTGTCTTCTAGTAAGTTTTGTTCAAGACTTGCTTGTTTAATATAGTAAGTTTTATTGGAATGAAATCATTCAAGTGAAAATACCTTAAATTAATTAATTTAAATGGGGGTTTCGGATTCAATTCTTAAGTCGGGACAACCAGCTTAATCCCCAATATAAGTTACCGAGTATCGCCAACTTTCTTTTTTTTTGTGTTTGTGTACTTCGAAAGGCACCTCGTCTCCGTTCGGAACGAATTGAATCGAGAAACCCCATTACCCTACCGAATCTCTATTCCAGTTTGCCCGTAATAATCCGGTTTGGAAGTTAGTCTCGAGAAAAACGAACCGAATGCATTCTCCACTTTTTCAGAACTCCGTCTCGCCCGGGGACAGGGACAAGTACAGGTCGAGATCACCCACGGAGGTCGATCAGGTTGTCAAGAGGAGGAAAGACGACAAGCTGGGACACGTAAGTGATAGTGTTACTGTTTTCCTACATGTCAGGGCGTGTATTCTCTTTAAAAAGTCTATCTTCAGTTGTTTAACGGTTTATCGGCAGGAAGTCGCCTGAGTTACACATTGTGATAGGATTGTGTTTGTAACTCATAGCATTGTTGCACTTGAGTAACCATTGCTTTTTATACTACTTGCTAAAAAAACGGTATTGTTTTATACTATATTGCTTATGTAAGTAAAGTGCATATCAAGTGAGTTACATTTTTCGCTTGAGTTACATATAATATGAAGTGTAGTTGCTCTTGTAGTTACACTGTACTTATGCAAGACAACTGCAGACCATGTGATTTATATTTTACGATTGAGTTACACAGTGTAGTAATAAACTATATCTACGTTTGTAGCTCATTATATTTTTACACTCGAGTTACACTAGCTTTTCAAATTATTTGGTAACTGAGAATAATATCGTTGTTATACACTGTACTTTTGTAAAAAACTTACAGATTATTGATCATATTGTTCGCTTGAGTTGCACATTGTAATAAGAAATATGTGTGTTTGTAGCTCATTACTTTTTTACACTCGAGTTATAATAACTTTTCATACTATTTGCTAAGAGTCATATCTCTATTTTATAACGATAACTACTTATGTAAGAAATTATACTTTTCGCTTGAGTTACACGATATAGTAACATCTAAAGGTGCAAATGTAGCTCATTTACACTTGAGTTTAAATAACTTGTCAGACTGTTCGAGCTATAAAAATAGTTTTAACTTTGTTTTATACTCACTTTATGTAAGATCACTGCAGATCATGTAATTTATATTTTTCGATTTAGTTACATAGTATAATAATAAAATATATCTACGTTTGTAGCTCATTACATTTTTACACTCGAGTTACAATAGCTTTTCATACTGCTAAGAAAAGTCATATCCTTATTTCATAACGATAACTACTTATTTAAGAAAAGCTCACTTCATTTGAATTATACTTTTCGCTTGAGTTACACAATATAGTAACAAGTAAAGGTGCAAATATAGCTCATTTACACTTGAGTTTAAATAGCTTGTCAGACTATTGGAGCTATAAAAATAGTTTTAACGTTGTTTTATACTCTACTTATGTAAGACAACTGCAGAGTGCGGATCATGTAATTTATATTTTTTCATTGAGTTACATAGTATAATAATAAAATATATCTACGTTCGTAGCTCATTACATTTTTACACTCGACAACTGCAGGGTGCAGATCATGTAATTTAATTTTTTGATTGAGTTACATAGTATAATAATAAAATATATCTACTTTTGTAGCTCATTACATTTTTACACTCGAGTTACAATAGCTTTTCATACTGCTAAGAAAAGTCATATCTTTATTTTATAACGATAATTCCTTATGTAAGAAAGGCTCACTTCATTTAAATTATACTTTATGCTTGAGTTACACGATGTAGTAAACAAGTCAGCAAATGTAGCTCATTTATACTTGAGTTTAAATAGCTTGTCAGACTATTCGAGCTATAAAAATAGTTTTAACTTTGTTTTATACTCTACTTATGTAAGACAACTTCAGATCATGTAATTTATATTTTTTTATTGAGTTACATAATATAATAATAAAATATATCTACGTTGGTAGCTCATTACATTTTTACACTCGAGTTACAATAGCTTTTCATACTGCTAAGAAAAGTCGTATATTTATTTTATAACGGTACTTATTTATGTAAGAAAATCTCACTTCACTTGATTTATAGTTTTCGCTTGAGTTACACAATATAGTAACAAGTATAGGTGCAAATGTAGCTCATTACACTTGAGTATAAATATGTAGCTTGTCAGACTATTTGAGCCATTAAAATAGTTTTATCTTTGTTTTATACTGTACTTATGTATGTAGCTCATTATTTTTTGCGCTCGAGTTACAATAGCTTTTCATACTATTTACTAACGAAAAAAATCTGACCGTTTTATATTGTCGTTGCTTATGTAAGATAAGTAAATTATAGTTTTCACTTGAGTTACACATTATATTATGAAGTATAGCTGCGTTTATAGCATATTACTTTCTTACACTCGAGTTAAAATAGCGTTTTATTATACTATTTACACTACAAAAAATAGTCTTTACGTTGTTTTATACTATACTTACTGCTGTAAGACAAATGCATGTTATAGGAATTATATTTTTCGCTTGAACTACACATTGTAATCAATTCAACACGTTTGCGCTAGAAAAAATAGTATTAAGATTCTTTTATACAGGGTAGACCATTTCAATTGATCCATGGTAATATCTCGAACAGTTAGATTCTAGCCAAAAATGATGACCTCTATAAAAGTTGTAGGGTTTGATTGAGGAAAACTGTTACTAACCTTAAATTTGGCCTTGAGGTCACCGGTCAAGGCCAGTTTAAAATTTTCAATTATTTTTTATTGAAAAGAGCTGAAAATTTTACGTTCACATAGTGTCTTTTGCCAAGGGTTAAAATGACCTCATAAGGTCATTCTGAGGTCAATATTACATTTTACACAATATTCAAGCCTGTATCGAGAACGGTAGTTTTTATCGAAAAATGACCTCTTTATAATTTGTAGGAATTAATTGGTATTGACCGCAAATTCAACCTTAAGGTCATTTCATTGTCAAATTGATTTGTTTTAAAAGAAACCCCTGTTTTTAATACCGAAATAAAATTGTACGTTCGAGGTGGTATAACGTCATTTTGACCCATGATAAAAGACACCATCTGGACTTACAATTTTTCGCTAGTTTGGATATCAAGGTCACGGTTCAAGGTCATATTAAGGTCAAGTCAATGGTCATTGACCACAGAGAGAATTTTCTGCACTTTCCATTTGCGCGGTCAAAAAAGAGGATCGCCAATAAAAAAAAAACTACTTGGTCTTGACATGACCTTGAAGGTTACCGCCGGATGCGCCGTGAAAAATGCTGAGACTTGTCCTCACCATTTATCCCAAAAATCCATTTCCCCTGAGATTATTGAGGGTTTTCATACTTTTGACTGTATACGTTCCAACACTATAGTAATTTTTCATTTTTCGCGCTAAACTGATGTTTAAAAATTAAGGATCGAATGAAAAGTCTTTATAACAGCCCCATTAAAAGTCGTGTAAAAGTTATCTCGTATTAAATTTGTGAATTACTATATTTTTTCTCCTTCCGAGACCTCACAATTAAAAACAAGTTTGTTTGCAACCCCGTAGCGTAATAAATAGCGAAGATAACTCCTTTCGCGGGATGATGCACAACCAGGGGACATTACTCAGTGGAGGAACTTTCGTCGTCTTTTCTGGGGTATCGCACACGTAAACCGCAACTTTTAAAAAGAGCTATAAATTTCCCGAGAGACACTATCTAGCGTATTAGTAGAAACCTGGAAATATCGCTGATTTCTGTTTGCCCGTCAGGAGGGACAAAGGGGTGATAAATGGAAAGTGAAGTGTTTGTTTTTCCGTCTTCTGTGCTTCTAAGCGCCGGATTTAGCGCAAAGCGGAAAGTGTCCGATGTCTTTGCAGCTGTAAGTTGCAGCTGTAAAGTTGTATTAATTAAAATTGCTTCGCCATAACACAAATGTTGTCTCGCTTCACCATAAATTAACACGATATCCATCAAGTCCGAGTTGCTATACACGTAAGCCATTTTTGGCACTTGAAAAACTAATGTAAACACTATCGCAAAACCTTTAATACTAGAGACTACGCTAGAGACTACGACAGCCCAGCGATGTAAGGGTTTTAAATACCACAACTTTTTTTCTCGACAATGTGCAAAACCATACTTATCGTATCAACTTCGACGTCACCTGTTACGAGGGTGTTGTATAATAATGAAAACGTAATATTGACAGTTGGTAGAAGGAAGCGCAAAAACAAGCGCTTATAGGTGGGGATTTCTGAAAGGAAGCCTAGATAGTGGAAGCGAAGGTAGCGCAGAGTGGAGTGAAAAGTAAGACGTTCGGTGTACGGTGAAAATATAGAAGTAGTGAAAAATTAAAAGTGTTTAACCGGTATTAGTTAACAGGTAATTATTATCTAAGTACTTTGTTGTTAATTGTTCTATGTAATCTTATGATTGTGATGATTATAGATGTTTCATGATAATAATTTTGTATATGTTTAGCCTTCATTGTTTTATGCTCAGGGGCGTATGTTTTTCTAAGGTAAAATTGTTACAATTATTATTAACGATTGCTCATTATTTATTACATGTTAAAATACGTATATATTGTCGTGACTGCCCGGATATTGCAATAACAACTCCTTTGTTTCACATTTAACTTGTTTTGTCATGATTACGTTGTTCGAAAAAACAACTAATAAAGCGTTTCTTGTGATCACTTTATGTCAAGACGCCTTTATAAGAGTCTTGTTGAATTTACTAACATTTTCGCCCGTGAGGAACGAATCTGAAAAAAAAAGAATAATTAAATACTGAAAAAGAATTGCTAAAACAGATCTTCCGAAATCTCAACTATAGCTGGATTGCCTCCCGTATGGAACTCCAGTACCTTCCGGCCCTGCCGGCTAACTAACACCAAACCTCTTCAGTTTTACTTGGAGGTGTGTATGACTAATATGAGTGAGATGACATTTAGTGACACATTAAATGAGACAGGTCTTATTATTAGCAAAGGATCTTAATGTATGCCTTTGGTTAGCGGTTGTTTTGTATTTATATTTGGGTAGTTAGAGCAACGATCGTGGGTTTCTCTGCCATACTCTATCCCCACAGGAGCTCTAGGTGAGCCTGGCACTCTCATTTTATGTTAAATGGTTGTTACTGTTTTTGTTGTTTTTTCTAAGTGTCACTTGTTTGATTTGAAGACTGTTGTACGTAAATAATAAAGTTAGGTGTATTTACTCTGCTTTTGTTTTATAAAATTAAACCATACTTCCCCTCTTTAGTTAGTAGCCAGCGCCTTCCGGTCAATTAAAAAAATAGATACATACAACGTAGGTATTCCTTATGACGATCAC